ACGCCAGAGGAGAGCTACTAGTAGAATTCGCAGAACGCAATAATTTGCGGATTTTGAATACCTTCTACCGAAAACGAGAAAACCGCAAGTGGACATGGAGGAGCCCTAATGGCGAAAATAAGAACGAAATAGACTTTATAATGACTGCACACCCAGGAATTGTGAAGGATGTGGAAGTGGTTGGCAAGGTACGATGCAGTGACCATAGAATGGTATGGTCTCGAATTCGCCTAGACTTGAAGAAGGAACGACATAAACTGATACGCAAAAAGCCAATCAATGAGCTAGCACTGAGAGGAAGAGTACAGGAATTTAGAGTGCCGCTGCAGAACAGGTACTCGGCTCTTAGTGAGGAAACCAACCTTAGCGTAGATACAATGAATGATAATCGGACGAGTATCATTATGGAGTGTGCAGTGGAAGTTGGAGGCAGGGTAGTGAGACAGGACACTGGCAAGCTTTCCCAGGAAACGAAGAACCTAATTAAGAAGCGTCAAATCATGAAAGTCTCAAGTACAACAGACAAAATAGAACTGGCAGAGCTTTCGAAGTTGATTAATAGGCGTAAGGTATGCGATGTAAAAAGGTATCCATGGAGAGAATTGAACACGCTCTGAGAAACGGAGGAAGCGTCAAAGCAGTGAAGAGGAAACTTGGGATAGGCAAAAGTTGGATGTATGCACTAAGAGACAAAGAAGGCAAAATAACCACCAATATGGATAAGATAGTTAAAATAGCGGAGGAGTTTTACAGAGATCTGTACAGTAGCCGAGACAACCACGACCTTAGTACTATAAGAACTAGCAGTAACCCAGATGACACCCCACCAGTAATGATAGAAGAAGTCAGAAAAGCTTTGGAGAGCATGCAAAGGGGCAAAGCTGCTGGTGAGGATCAGTTAACATCAGACCTGCTGAAAGATGGTGGACAGATTGTGTTAGAAAAACTAGCCACCCTGTTTATGAGGTGCCTCCTGATGGGAAGGGTACCAGAGTCTTGGAAGAACGCTAACATAACCTTAATACATAAGAAAGGAAATGACAAGGACTTGCAGAATTACAGGCCGATCAGCTTGCTCTCAGTAGTATACAAGCTATTTACAAAGGTAATTGCTAACAGAGTAAAGAAAACATTAGAATTCAATCAACCAAAGGAACAAGCAGGATTTAGAACAGGCTACTCAACAATTGACCCCATTCATACTATCAATCAGGTAATAGAGAAATGCTCAGAGAATAACCAACCACTATACAAAGCCTTTATAGATTGCGAGAAGGCGTTTGATTCAGTAGAAATATCAGCCGTCATGCAGACCCTGCGGAATCAGGGAGTAGATGAAGTATATATAACATTCTGGAAGAATATACATGGGATCAACTGCTACCATAGTGCTTCATAAAGAAAGCAACAGAATACCAATCAAGAAGAGTGTAAGGCAGGGGGACACACTCTCCCCAATGCTATTTACCGCGTAGTTACAGAAGGTTTTCAGAAGCCTAGAATGGGAACAGTTAGAGATAAGAGTTAATGGAGAATACCTTAGTAACCTGCGCTTCGCCGATGACATTGCATTGCTGAGTAACTCAGGGGACGAATTGCAACTCATGATTACGGAGTTAGACAAGAGAGCAGAAAGGTGGGTCTTAAAATTAATCTGCAGAAAACGAAAGTAATGTACAACAAGCTCGGAAGGGAGCAGCGCTTCGAGAAAGGTAATAGTGCACTTGAAGTTGTAAAAGACTATGTCTACTTAGGGCAGGTAATAACTGCCGAGCCGAACCACGAGATAGCAGTAACTAGAAGAATAAGAAAGGGGTGCAGCACATTTGGCAAGCACTCTCAAATTATGACAGGTAGATTGCCACTATCTCTGAAAAGGAAGGTATATAACAGCTGTATCTTGCTGGTACTTAGCTACGGAGCAAAAACCTGGAGACTTGCTAAGAGGGTTCAGCCTAAATGAGGACGACGCACCGAGCAATGGAGAGAAAATGGTAGGTGTAAACTTAAGAGACAAGAAGAGAGCAGAGTGGATTAGGGAACAAACGAAGGTTTAAGGATATCATAGTTGAAATCAAAAAGAAGAAATGGACACGGCCGGGCATGTAGCGCGTAGACAGGATAACTGCTGGTCGTTAAGGGTAACTAACTGGATTCCCATAGAAGACAAGCGGGTTAGCGGGAGACAGAAGGTTCGGTGGGCAGATGAGATTAAGAAGTTTGCGGGTATAAATTGCAGCAGCAAGCACTGGACCAAGCTGACTGACGGAAAATGGGAGATGCCTTTGTCCTGCAGTGAACGTAGTCAGGCTGATGATGATGATGATGATGCTATTGCTTAAATGCCATTTCAAAAAAAAAAGCATTATATATGTCACTTTATGGAACGAGTCTCCTTAACTAGGGACGTAGACAAGAAAAGGAGAGGAGGACCTAAACCCCCTCCCAAAAATTTTTAAATTTGCTTGCCTATATGGACACGCACATATACAAACGCACGCATAAACAATGTGTGTGCCCCCACCGGCAGTCGCGATGTTTGAACCCCGCGGGACTGCTACATGGAGGTCCAAGCCCCGTCTGGCACTGGCCCGGAATATTCTTTCAATAACCAGTAAACAGGCTTTGACTTCCTTACTTCTTTTACACGATCCACCAAGCAAATTATTCATTTACATGAAGGGTTTGACGTTCCTAAACCACCATATAATTATGAGAGACGCCTTAGTGGAGGGTTCCGGAAATTTCGACCACCTGGGGTTCTTAAACGTGCGCCCGAATCTGGGCACACGAACCACAAGCATTTTCGTCTCTATCGAAAAGGCAGCCGCCGCGGCCTGGATTCGATCCCGCGACCTGTGGGTCAGGTGCTCATTTCGACCATTCATTGTGTTTGAGCAGCATGCTTTTATCTGTCAAGCTGTGACGGTCGCTAGTTTGAACTCGTCATGTGTTCTTTTCGTGTGACTTTTAGCTTGAGGAGTGAACTGCAAGTTTCGAGCTGCTATCCATTCTTATAATGACATTACAATTAATTACGATAGCGCTAATTCTTTTGTCTTTGCGGCGAACCAATGCACAATATACGTTCAAAAGCTCTATGAGCACACATTTAACTTCTGGGCTTTACAGATCCTTACGACAGGGAAATTCGCAAAGTTTTTTTTCATTGTTCTTAACGGCAGCCATTGCAAGCCTAATTGACGTCAAACCCCCATCACGCATCGAGCAAGTGTTCATCAGTGCTATTTTAATGAACATGTATGGCTAAACTACGCAGATACAAGACAGCAATTAACCAAAGTATTTATGTCTTGACAGTTATGTAACCACGCGTTAAAATTAATATATATGTCTTTTCTCAGTTGAACGTCATCTTCGCGGTGTGCTACACCTCTGTACGTTTTTCTTTCATATATGCTACACGATCTTTTATTGAGCTATGTGGAAAACTTGCGTTATAACTGGTGAGTGTACTACGTATTCAACGTACGTCAGAAAAAAAAGGCATCTGAAGCTTTGTATGAACGAAATGACACGACTAAAATTGATCAATTAAAAACCTTTATAGATCTCGCCTTAGCGTGCATAAATTCACAGGTATTTCGCCACAGCACTGCCAGCCGAACAAGAAAGCTTGGGCAGCTATCAGCATTACAATGTCGACCACGAAGTTCGGGTTCATCTTGATGCTCCATTAGCAGTCATGGTGGTGTAAGTAACCCTTTCATTGCTTCCAGCAATACTAAGTTGAGCGTTCACTTGTGGTCATACAATCTCTCAGTAAAATCGTTGGCTTGAGTACGCTGATTTCGAATTCAGGTCTTCTGCAACTGAGGATCAACACTTTTCTTTTCAGTGGATACACGTTTGTTAAAGCGTTCATTCTTATCTCATCACCAACATCGTGATGAGGGAAACTGGAAAGCACAAAGGAACTAGGTCGAAACCGTTGGTAATAAAATTAAGACAACTGCTAAGTTGTGTTTCTTCTCTTCCCAAGTACGTTTAGCCCGTCGGAAAAACTTCTCCAACACACACACACATATATATATATATATATATATATATATATATATATAATATATATATATATATATATATATATATATATATATATATATATATATATATATAATATATATATATATATAACTAGAAAACCAGAAATCATTGCCAGAGAAACCAACTAACCAGAGAAATTGTCGAAGCCTTTCACATTAAAAAAAGAAAAGAAGGATGCATTAGTCAGTCATCGGTTTCGTTAAGTAACCGAGAAGCCAGCTACCTCGAAGGACTTAATTGAGATCACTGTTTTCATGTGTCATACTCTCCTTCTTGTCGTTTCAAAATTTTGTTTCAAACACGTGTGAATTCCCGCAAAATTTTTAGATTTTTTGTTTTTTTTTGATTTGATGTTACCCAGGGCTGTTTTTAGTTATGTCATCTAAAAGTGTCTAAGCTTAACTGCCGTGTACTATCGCTTGAGTCTGCGCAAAAGCTTCTGTTGGCAATGATTCAGTGTTCGTAGTTCTTTTCTGTGTCGCTAGGGTTATGGGTTTATATGAAGTGCTGCTTCTGAAATAAAATTAGTCGCGAGTGTAGCGAGTGTCGTGTTTTCTTGTCCTCTTCGTCCCCGTCGAATTTGCGCGACTACACCATATGGTTAAATGACATCTATGTAGAGAACAAAGAGTGGTCACCTGGAGTACTCTTTCGCTGAACTACAACCAATGTTTTGCCGGTATCTCTGTATTCCTGCCACCCGTAGAATCTCGCACTCGGGAAATCCACGCGGATACACTCGGTAATAAACATGGCTGCAGCTACTATCCCCAAAAAATCGACTTTGGCAGTCGGCAAGGAATAGTTGCTAAGATTGTGCACTCAAAATTGTTTGTAGTTTCTTGAACTACTTAACTAATTTAGTGTTGACTGACCAACCAGATATGCGATGCAGGGAAAGATCATAGTAATTTCTCATTTCCTTGCAGGAGAGTCTCAAGTGCACGTAAGGGACCCCGTGGCCTATTTGGAAATCTTTATTGTGACAGACGGGTATGCATCAGTTTTGCAGTCGCTTACGCATTTTCGATTTGTGCATGGTTATCGGCAGTGCTTCCAACCTCTCATGGCTTTTTTTTTTAGTTTCAAGGGCAGTACAAGACCACTGTCTCCTTTAGGAGATAGCTGCACAATTCCACTAGCATAGCGTTTAGCTCTGTAATGTGGGAGATACGCCAGTAATGAGCCGAGAGATCAAGCGTAGTGGGCCCCTAGCAGCTACTGGCTAAACGAAGCTAGTGTGTATAGCTCCTTGCGTTGTAAACTAGTCACGACGTTTTCATATGCACACGCACGTCATACAGTACCTCTATAGGCACATTTTACTGCTCAGTTAGCCCAGTCTTAAGCACTTCTACTTAAGCCTATCGCGTATGCTTCAATTTTGTTTGATTTCGCAACAGTTTATACCCAAACCAAGTCGGCCTAACCAACAAGTGCATGGCATAAACATGTGCGCAACCTAAATTGGACAAATTTTCTTTTTCCTAATATAAAGAAACCACAGGTGGCAAATACCTAATAAGATTTCTATGGAGACGTAAATCAATATGATGTGCTCAGTAATGAACACAGGGACCACGCGTTTTAGCTTAGGTTGATAGTCATCCCTGCGGAGTGCTTGGTGGTCCTCTTTTTTGACCAGGTATTGCCCAGAAGAAGGTTTGTGGACACACCTACAGTAGAAGCTTATTGCAAACTGGCTTGTGGCACCACTCGCCCCTCTGATGATGTTTACTCCGCTATCAGCTTTACGCACTATCAGCCATACTATATAATGTGCTCATTTCACCTGTTAGTTCTACTAGCAGAGAGACAAGCTGTCGTACACATTTGCATACATTTTCTGTCTTTTTTTGCCCATAGTTAGATTGAACACGCTAATGTGATGTCTATAGGTTTATATTTTAGTAACTGCTGGAAAAGTATGCAGAAAACACTCATTTTTGTGTATTGATATGCCCCGTGCTATGCTCTTTATATGATTTTGAGTCTTGTAACAAAATAGATCTTCAGTGTGGTAGTGACTGATGTGTGTTTATAAATAAGTTGTTACTGGAACGTTATTAACTACAAAAATGTTTCTACCATTCTAGCCTTGCAAAGAAGGAGACAATGCCCGATGCGACTATCCTACATGCGAATGTGTGCGGAGAGGTGGTGGCTACTACTGCAGCTCTTTAATTTGGTACTAATGTCCTTAATAAAATCTAGCACATGACGCTTCTGCCTGGTAAAATAGTAAAAACAACTGTAAAGAGGAACACCTTCCATTCACGACAACAATAGTAGGGCACGCTACGTGCAACGATCAATTCTTTTTTCATTAACGCGTAGGCATAATGCCACAAAATCATGTCACACGCTCAAGATGCTTTATAAATTCACCTCTTGTATCTCCAATTTTCTTCACGGTGATCTTAGTTGCCTTCTAGGATTGGCAAAGGGAAGTAATGCCCTATGAACATGGCCTTCTGCAACACGTCTTTGCTATGCATCAATCCTATTAAGCGCATTCCCAATAAGAGAAGTGCATTTTTTTCCAACGAACTAACACACCGCAAGGTGGCGACCTCCGCGAAAACTTTCCACAAAAGGAAACACCGCTTAAGAAGAAGGTGAAGGAAACAGAGAAGAACTTGTGGAAAATTGGAATGCTTGCGAAATAATCACTGGAGACCTACCAAAGTTTCAAGCAGAAACTTGCAAAAAGAAAAGATCTTCGATAATTCTCGGAGTAGTTCTCTGCTGTTCAAGACCACAATGGGATTATTGCGGATCAAGACGTATCGAACAAAATACGAACGCACAGGCACGTTATGTAGTGCATGGAGAGGAGGAGGACAGAGCTGAATATTTTATAATGTTCTGTAAAGGGCTCCACCCTATAATCGAAGATATTGGCGGCAAATTTTTTAAAGCTTTGGAATTTAGGGACAGTGAAGGCAAAAGAGACTTTAAACGGGTAGAAATGTCCAGGAGGAGGCTGATTGATTGGTGGGTACAATCGAGGCACGAGTGAAATTAAATCCTTAAACACACAGTGATAGTACTTAACTCTATGGGTAGGTGGTGTGAGCCGCCACCCGATCTAAAGGGCACAGCCGAATACATACATACATACACATACATACATACATAACATACATACATACATATACATACATACATACATACATACATACATACATACATACATACATACATACATACGTCTGTCCGTCCATCCTCCATCGGTACCACTCACAGCATTCATCCAGATAAAAAAACATATGAGGATGCTTGAGGTTAGCCTTCTAGCGTAAGTGTCCATAGTGTAATCAAGCCACGTGCGCATCCTTTCCGGATTGGTAACCTAAACTAGCTCTCGGTGCATGCCTCAGCCGTGCCGCATGACTCTGAGTGTCACATTGGCCGTTTAAATGTGTCATCGAAGATTTATTGCAAGCACACTTTTCTAGAGCCCACTACGCCGTAAGTATATTTTTCGCGAATCAGCGAAGGGTCCACTTTGTGTCCGTAGGGCAACAGGAAGACCTACGCAGCTGTTGACTTAGTTGATCGTTCTTCCGCTGCTGCTGCTGATTAAATATGCCTGAGTGCTTTGTAAGGGGCTAAGCTTTTAAAGGGACATTGGCAAACATGAAGTCGATGCTGATTGCTGAAATAGATGTCCAGAAACCGGGCAGTGCTACTTTTGTACAAGGAAGTGCTTATTTTGAAATGAAATAACGTTTTGTGGTCTGCATCGCGTTAGCACACTTCAATCCCCGGCGTCAAAGTGGCCATCTCACGTCACTGTCACCCCGCACAGCGTTGCCCAGCTTGACTGCGCGGCCGCCGACCCACCAACACTAGTAGCAGCAGAGCGAAAGTAGCAGGGGCCACAGCAGCTACAAGGGCCATCAAACAATTTTGGACCTGGCCTCCAAGATAGTAATCATGCTTGATTAGAATGGGCTACACTAGATGCCACGACATGTCCCGTTTAACCAGGCAAAAATTCAACTTTGGACCACTGGCTTCATTTCTCATAGTAACGGCCGGCGGTTCTTTTTTCTTTGAATCACCAAAAATGAACCACCAGCATTTTTTACGTCTCTTGATGCACGTAGAGTTCTTAATTTAGCACAGCTGGTTTGATTACTAATGAATATTGTGAGTGGAAGTTTGACGTCATCGGGATCATTTAGCGAATGTACTACTCGTGGCACATGTGTTCTCTTGCAATTACTCTAATTTCTTGGTAACTGCTTTTGATAATATTGTTTTAGACATTGTTATACATCGAGCTTTCACTCTGACATGGAGTGTTATTTGACTTCAGTGTCGCTTTGAAGCACGCACTCATTTTTCAATGCACTTTTTTATGCCTAGCGCGTTTTTACGCTTCTGTCCTGCTATATGATGATGCGTAAAGCAGACTCCTTCCACTTCATGGCATTTATATATTGGTTTTTTTACAAAACAGTTCCAATAAACGTCGTGGCTTTGTCGTAGAACATGTGCTTTCCACGCACCAAAATTCAACCCTTACAGAGACCCGGAAGTGTTTATTATTTATTCTATCTGCGTCCTACTCTATTTTCTCGTGTACAAGATGATGATTTACCGACCACAATCACCACTGCCACGCCGACAAGGACGCCGACAACGACGCCAACACCAATGCCAACACCGATGCTGACACCAATGACGACACCGAAATTTCTGAGAAACGAGCTTTTTAATATAGCGTAAAGAGCCGTAGCGTTGTGCTATTTGCACAATTGCTGTAGCACATACACGCTAGAGGAATTCTTCGGCGCAGCGGTCAGAGCCTGTTTGTTGGCCGTATAACCGTATTGTGTTAAAATAGCTTAGCGACGCGTGCCTCCTTATCTCTCTGTGACCGGAGAGAAAGATAAAAAAAGACGTGACTGTTAACATGGCCATGACACTGCGTTGCCCGCTTATGCTGGCCCCGAGAAAAACAACTCTGCTAAATGGTGCGCGTTGCGTTTCACTGTATAGCCTGGTTGCAGTGTTCAAAAGTTCTTTGAAATGCCGTGCATTGGCTATCTTAGTGGAACTTCTGCGAGCAGTTGGTGACGCTGTCTGGGTGTCACATGCAGCTCCTATCATAAAACTTTCACCGTTAACTGCTACACCTACCACACGATTGATCATGGGTGTTACACGAGATTTACCACCAAACCACCAATTGTAGATGCATGAACGTGAAACGGCGCTATACATCAATAAATATTGTGCTGAAGCTGCCAAACACCTTTAAGTATTGTGCAAGCTATCTTGAACCAATGTGCAGTGTATAGATTCAACTACTGTAAGGAGTAGTTGAATCTCCCTTTTGTGCTATACCCGCACATATGACGGAAGAAGCCAGCGTACTTTTTTCGTTTTTGCAGACAATATTTTTCCGTCCGCAGACAAACCACGGTCCTTAGATGAAATCATGGCAAAGTCCTTAGATGTAATTATTAAAACAGAGCAGCAATAGAAACTTGCCGATCTATGCTCATTTCACTATTAGTGTATATATAGATATTGACACTATTGTCTTTCTAGGGAGGAAGGTACAGTGTTGTGCCGTTTGCGTTTGGGTGTACCTTCACCAATGCCTACTCATTTAAGATTGAGATGGCCGACAGCGGGGATCGCAATGACTGCGCCGTCGATGAGACTGTTAAACACCTCTTATGTTACTGCCCGGCATACACAACCGAGAGGCTTCCCCTGCGCAGTGTCTTAAAACAACTGGACAGAAGTGATTTCACTGTCGAGAAAGTATTGGGACCATGGCACTGCCGATCCCTATTTCGAAAGGCAACGAAAGCACTGTTGCATTTTCTCAAAGGCACGGGCCTGTTTCATCGTTTATGATGTGAAACTGTTACGAGTTGGCCCAGTCAGTGACCTTTTTTCCTTCTCTATAATTTTCCTTCCCCTCTCCCCATCCCCTGTACAAGGTAGCCTACCGAGGCTCAGCCCTGGTTAACCTCCTTGCTACTCCTTATGTTCTCTCCCCTCTCTTGAGATTGCAGTACAATGTTCACGAAAGTTCATAAATTTAACGACAAGAAAAGCATACTGCTAAACTAAAAGCGCGAAAGATGAGACTAATGAAGAAAAAAAACATGCAATGCTTCTTCTTACAAGCTCAACTGAAAGTAAGAAAAAAAAGAAATGTCATATTGTAAAGGGTTCAAGAGAAGAAACACCAAAAGCTACTTTATTGGGCAAACTTGTGCCCTCAAAATTATGTGCGAAAAATGGAAAAGTCCACAAGAGCATTCCAAAACAAAAACTGTTTATCCACCAACCCGCTTTCTTCTTCCTCGCTGATCCAACCCACACTGACTCGTGCCCTTGAACGAGAGGCACTAGGCGTGCGGCCAGAAGCACGAGCGCGCACAAGGATGTTGATTGATTGATTTGTGGGGTTGAACGTCCCAAAACCACCATATGATTATGAGAGACGCCGTAGTGGAGGGCTCCGGAAATTTCGGCCACCTGGGTTTCTTTAACGTGCACCTAAATAGGAGCACACGGGCCTACAACATTTCCCCTCCATCGAAAATGCAGCCGCCGCAGCCGGGATTCGATCCCGCGACCTGCGGGTCAGCAGCCAAATATCTTAGCCACTAGACCACCGCAGCGGGGCGCACAAGAATGTGGACGCCGATTCTTCATATTATCGGATAGTGTAATTAGTCTCTGTGGCATTACACATCTTTCGTTCCGAGGTTTTGTCTCTTTAACGTTTTAACGCGAAAGCATTAAGAACCGTCGTATACGCGGAAATTCTGGCGTGGGCTTGGGCATACTGTTGTTATAGTGGGAAAAATCATCATATTGTCCGTGACCGGAAAAGTAAGCAAGGTGAAAATAAAAATAAATGATGCAGCTTTTCGGGTCCAAGTGAGGATGGAAGCATCACAGCTTGCGTGGCAAGCGGGTGTTCCAGTTCAACAATTCTTTTTGGATTTAGGAAATATATTTATCTGCTTAAAAAATCTGTGAAAACAACTTTCATGCTTTACAAACATACGCGTCCTGTATACAGACTTCATAATAGGACATCTGATATCATGGTAATAGCGCGTAGTATAAGCGTTCATTGCCATCGTGCTTCAAAACATGTGCGTATGACACCGACTTTGTGGCCTAAATTCGATCACCAATTGATTCGATCACCAAAGGCACACACGTTTATGC